AGCACACATATATTCCTACGCTGGCTTTAGCTGCTGCTGATCTGCTTATTCGTATGCCTCTTTCGCGAGAGACGAAGACGCTTTTCATAGACATGTGAACGGTGATAAGAACATGCCTGTTGTCGGCGAGGATGCTGAGATTTTCGATCGCGTTATCGCGATGCTCAAAAGTGAGGTTTCGTGTGTGGAATCGGTTGGCTTTGGAGCGGTGTTGAAATATATACTTGTTTTCCTCAGCTGAACTCAGAATTGTACGGGTAGGAGTGAACGAAAATTTCAAGAAAAATTCCTGAAAATTTCCATGTGCATATTTCTTTCAGAGTATTTGGAATTGGCAGAGGATCGTGAAGAGAAAGTCATTGACTTTAAAGAGCCGAGGGAGATTGATGAAATCATGCGCGGATGTGGTTGTGATCTCTCGCTGGAGGATGGTAGGTGGGCTCAGTGGTAGGGTAGCGGACCTATTCTGTATCTTGTAATCTGGACCTATTCTGTATCTTGTGATCTGGACCTATTCTGTATCTTGTGATCTGGACCTATTCTGTATCTTGTGATCTGGACTTATTCTGTATCTTGTGATCTGGACCTACTCGTATCTTTCCATCTATGCCAATGCATCGTTGCATCGTCTATTTCCACTAGGATCTCCTCGTTGGATTTGCGCGCGTATCTTGAAAATCTTCGCTGTGCGCACGGCACATTGGAAGTTGGCTTCGGTGTTGGAAGAATATATATCTGGTTTCCTCATCTGAGCTCGGGAGTTCCCGAGATGGCTCGGGGTAGAAATGTACAAGAGCTAACACGCGTAGTTGACCATGTGCATATTTTCCAACACTGCTTTCCACACTGGTTTTGCAACTCTCCAGGTAAGCGTGTTGGTGCTGAAGCCATCATTTCAGCATGTGCGGCTACGCTCCGCCTCTCGGCACGCACAGGACATCCTCAATTTTTTAATACACTTTTTGGTCGCTCTGACGTCTGTGGTGAGTCGCGGCCCTCCTGAATGGACGACACCCCAGTCGTGATTTGTTCGAGGTGTGGTAGGAGAGATGCTCACCGTAGCGTGCAACACCAGTGCGTATACGTTTGAGATCGCTCCTGTGTTCGTTATGGTCGAAGCCAGTGTTATCGATAAAACGGTGCAGTTGCTGGGATTCGAACCTGGGACGTCGGAAGGTTAGTCGTGGTGTATTCCCTACTTAGCTATTGTGTTGGTTAGGCCTCTTTGTCCCGGGTGGGTCCATCGCTAATCTGTACGGGCTTCAACTTGCGCGATTTTTCAAGTTCCCCGAGGTTAAACATAAAGGAATATACGCCATCAAAGGAGCGCTCGTGGGGTGACATCTCTCATCAGTGTTGGAATATATGTTTGTTTTCCTCACTAATTATAGAGGTTTGTATACGAATTCGGGTAGAAGTGTGCAGAAATCAACAATAAATTCCCGAAAATTTTCTCAGAGTTTTCGTAAACACATGCAGATGAGTATGTGCGTATTCAACCCCCCCCCCCACATTATCTGTCACTTTGTATGTCGCGGGTAGCTGTTGAGCAGTGTTGGAGTAGGAATATACGTAATCGCTTTCCTCAGCACCTGAGCTCAGGAGTTTCCTCACTAACTATACTAAGTTTATTCACGAATTAATAAGGTAGTAGTTTACAGAAATCAACAATAAATTCTCAAAATTTCCTCATAATTTTCATATTGTCAACTATATGCATATTTCCCCACGCTGCTGTTGAGCAGTTACTGCTCGGAGGCTTCTCACTACTCTTACAAGAAGGCCGCGCACCTCATGGGAATCGGCGAAGACAATATCAAAGAGGTTTTCATCACCTCGAAATTCGACTCTGATTTTTTCGTGCTCTCAGATAGCGATCGACGGTCGTGGAAAAATGGTAGTTGACGAGCTCACGAAGCGAATTGAAAATGATATCGCGGCTGGGCTTCAGCCGCTCTTTGTTGGTGCCACTGCAGGGACAACTGTTTGGGGTAGTCCTGTTCATTCGGTGACCACCGAAGTTTTGTTCTGAGGTTCTTTTGATGAGCTCACGAGCTTGAGAGCAGTGTGCGATAAATATGGTTTGTGGTTGCATGTCGACGCGGCCTGGGGTGAGCAGGGAATTTTACAGTGCTAACCAAAGAGTTATGCGTATGTTTAGATTTTCGAGATGGTTTTATTCCGTTTGATGGTATGGTTATAGACTACGTAACGCCTCTAAAACGTTGGTGTCATCAATCGATTCACATTGTTATCATGTTGATATTACTCAAAGTTGACTTTCGACAAACTCCCTAAAATTGAAGGCTAAGTTGAAAATACTACTACTTTGCATAACGGTTTAGTTTACACTGTAAGTAGTTTAGTTTCTAGAATGTAAAAAATATGCATTATTTTCGAGATTGATAAAAATCGATCTGAAACTATATCGCATAAACAATGTAAACATTGCTATGAACATGTGATGTGATAAAAGTAACCTTTCGAGACTATGATAGCGACAAGTTGTTCACTATCATTAACCCCGGAATAGAAAACACACATTTCCCACATTTGCATATCAAATTGGCAGATTTGCGAATATACAGTCAGTGGTGATAGTAAAATGCTGAAAAAAATCCAAGAAATTATCAAAAATTTTTAAAAGTTTTGATCGTCATAGCAGTTTCTCTGCAGGTGGTGCCGCTTTACTCGCATCGACTGTCACTCGGGACCGCCTCTTGAGAGGGGTCGAAAAAGTCGATTCTTTCTGCTGGAATCCTCACAAAATGGTCAGCAGCTTGTGCGGGCGCTTTTATTTAAGACTGTGTTTAGGTTGGCGTTCCTCTACAGTGCAGTATGATCGTACATAGGAAGGGCCGAGGCCTGGTCGGAAAATTGTTTTTGATGTTGCTTTCCTCAGCTGAGCTTGCGAGTTTATAAAGCTAATCACATATCAGTTTACCTACGAATCCAATAAGAATTTCCTTTCAGAATTTCCATATTGTCACCAACACATGTAGTTGAGCATGTGCGTATTTTCCCCTCCTATGGTCGGAGTTGTTGTTTGTTATTACTTTTTTATAATTGTTTTAGTTACACTCTTGCAACGGCACGCAGGCGCCTTATCTTTTCCAAAAGGAAAAACTCTTCGGCGAAATGGACCGCGGCGATTGGACTATCCAGTGTGAGTGATCGTTGAAATACATCTAAACAGTGTGATGAACCACATGTGCTGAGCTCAGCTGATGAGAGCAAACATATATCATAATACTGCCTCAGCTGAGCTCAGGAGTTTTATCGCTAATTGTAGGAGTTTGGTAAAGAAGTGTACAGAAATCGATGAAAATTTACCGAAATTTACGAAAATTTACGAAAATATACGAAAATATACGAAAATTTACGAAAATTTACGAAAATGTGAAGATTACGGGAGGAAATCTTGGGAAATTCCCATGAGTTTTTGCAGAATCTATAGTTAGTGAGAAAATTCTTCAACTCAGCTGAGGAGAGCGAACATATATTCCAACACTCAAATGCTACATGTATCATCATCTAGTAGGTGGCAGACGTCCGGATGCATTCAAGATATGGCTTGCTTGGAAACACATCGGCGACGAGGCTCTGGGTCGTCGTGTTGAATGGGGTAAGCTCCTCATCTGAGACGAGTTGACGTTGGTGTGGTATCAACATTTGTTCAGCGATCGAACTTTCTCGTTATGCTGCTGAGATTATCAACACCAGTACTGGCCGATTTTGTGGCCGTTTTGAGCTGCATCATGAACCCGAATACGCCAATGTTTGCTTTTGGTACCATCTGTTTGTGAAATCATCAAAAAGTTGTTTCCTATCGGAGGTACTTGCCGCCCTCACTGAAGCACTTGAAACCTGCCAGAGGCCTTCTTACACCGGATGAAGCCGCGGCACTAAGTCAAGTAGGTGCGCTGTATATGAGGAATGTATGTTCGTTTTCCTAAGCTCAGTGGGGGGGGGAATGCACATGGTCAACTACATGTGTTGGTGACAATATGGAAATTTTGAGAAAATATTGTTGGTTTCTGTACACTTCTACCCGAATTCGCGTGCAAACTTGTAGTATAATTAGTGAGAAAACTGCAGAGCTCAGCTGAGGAAAGCAAACTTATATTATAATACTGCCTCAGCTGAGCTCAGAATTTCCATCTTTTACCAACACATGTAGTTGGCTATGTGCATATTTTCCTAAATCGTGGTCCCTCACAGTGTTGGAGTTGGAATATATGTTTGCTTTTCTCAGCTGATTACAGATGTTTTCGCACTAATTATGAAAGTTTATATACGAATTCGGGTAGAAGTGTACCGAAACCAACAAGAATTTCTCAGAATTTCCATATTTTTACCAACACATGTGGTTGACCATGTGCATATTTCCTAGTTCGCGATCTCTTTCATTTCGAAGCCTTTCAGGTGATCCCGTATTGTAAGAGCCGCATGCAGGAGTTGGGCTTGGCAATGATCACGTTCACCGGCGAATACAATTTTTTCAGGTAGTTTTTTTTTCACTACACCGCTCTGCTGTTTCGACTTAGTCGTTTTCAGATGGACTTTCGCTAATCCCAGATCGGTCACTCGCGAGGACGTAGT